CCGGCCCACAACAGCCGGCCCAGGGTGGCCGGCCCACCCCTGCGCCGATGTTGGCCGGCTCCAGCGGCCGGCCGTCCGACTTATTAGCCGGCAAATAGGGCCGGCCCAACGGAATTCTGGCCGGCAGTAGTGGCCGGCCAGTTACAGAACAAAAAAAAAAAAAATTCAAATTTTTCGATCGAAATTTCAAAAAAAAAAAAGTACCGATCGAACGAAGAACCCCTTGCCGCCGCGTTTAGATGGTCCCGACATTTTTTCGGAATTTTTTCGGACGTCTAACGAGCAAAAAACGAGAGAGAGAAAGAGAGTAGAAGAGAGAGAGAAATGAGGTGGAGGGTAATTTTGACTTTTGGGGGGCGGTAATAATCGAAAAGGGGGCGGTGTTTAGCGTTTCACTATTTTTTATCTAGTCAAAATTATTATATTTACTTTTTACTTTCATAAAAGAAATGCACTGATTGCCCTCTTGGAATTATTTATAAATGTGGATGAATTATAGAGTTTGTCAAAACGGGTGGGGCGGGCTGACCCGTAGCCCACCAAAGCCCGCAAATTGGCGGGGCGGGGCGACTGGCCTTCGAAACGCAAGTCCAACCCGCCCCTACCTCGGGCCTTGGGCTTATTTATTTTGTATCTCTTTTTTCAAATCTTTTTTTATTGAGTCGCGGAATCAATGAAGAACCCACAAGTGAGGGGAAGGTGGAGGGCGAGGGCTGATGTCACACGACGAGGGCGGACGATGGAGGGCGCACGGGGAGGGTAGTGTTGTCGGCAGTATCCAACGGCAACGTATGGAGGGCAACGCACGGCAGCAGTGGGCGACGAATGAGCGGAAGTGATTTATGTTAAATTGGAGTTCGGCAATTAGGATTTGGGTGGATTTGGAGGATGAGGAGATGGAAGTTGAAGATATATAAGAATGAGGAGATTGGGAACTGATAAGGAGATGGGAATTGGAGATATATGAAAATGACTAAGGAGATGGGAACGCCGAACTGATAGATGATAATGAGGAGAGGAGATGATCCTGCGAATTTTAGGGTTTTTCTTTAATTTTTTTTATTTTTTTTTTTAAATTGACGGGTCGTGCCGCTCGCCCCACCTTGGCCCGCAGCCTGCACAGGCTGGCTCGTTTCTCCCCAATGGGCCTAGAAAATCTTGACCCAACCGCCTCTTTGGCGGTGCGCGGCGCGCGGGACCACAGGCTTAAGCAACACCAGAAGTTTGAGTCCACTAACCCCAATCCATAATTCCACGTACAAGAAAATGGGTTTTTGGAGTTTGGATGCCAAGTCACAAATTCTTGATCGCTTGTCAGTCGTCTCTCTCAACCAATTCTTTCAGTGGTTGTGGGCACATGTTAATATGTTCACCGCTTATGTGGCATGCACACATTGGTGATGTATTTTTTTTAATATATTAACATCACCAATGTGTGCATGTCACATAAACATAAGCGGTGGGCATATTAACATGTGCCCACCGTGGACAAAGGAGCATTTTCCGATTATGTAATACGAGAACACAACAATAACTACTACAATGGCAATATTATGGGACTCCACATTGTCCATCCTCTTCAACAGACGGATCAAGATGCGGTCCCGAATCATTTGACTGGTCAACATCAGATTGTATGTCATTGTCACTGCCATTTGTCGGGGCACGTATATCGATATCCATGGCACTGACTGTTGGGGTCTCACCATTCTCTACACCATTTTCATTGCACACGTGTCTCCATCGGCACTTGACCGGAATGAGTTGAGAACTGATTCGACTGAACTCATTGAGCATGCCTGTAGAAATTGAAAGGAGATGGACACAATAATCACTGTTAAAATCTTTAAACAGATAGAGCAAGCAGAAATAAAGATTCCATTTGAATCTTGGAAGATGAAAAAAGCAAGTTTGCACACATCTTGACAGCACAAAAGAGGTCTATTATGGAAAAGGAAGAAAAAAAAAAAATCAAAGTTCAATCTACCCAAACGATCCATCATTCTTCAAAAAATAACAAGAAATCCTTTATTGGATTAAATGTTACGAAAGGCAACCACCAAACAGAATTGCTGAGAAAATGCAAACCTCAGCCTCAGCTTTTGTATTGTCTTAAAAGAAGATATGTAATTTCAATGGATAATTGTTTTCCTTTTCTATTTTTCATTTCTTTTTTATTCTTTTCGGGTCGGGGGAGGGAAGTTTGATTAGGCGAAACGATGAGGGTACTTTTTGTAGTTATCCTTAGAAAATATTAAGTATGTCATTTTGTTAGTGTACAACATCGAGAACAATTAACATTTCCGGATCAACATAACTTCAGAGCAAGCAGAATCAAAGAGCAGTCCTGATTATGGTATACGATGCATTATTTGATTTAACATTTACTATGACTTGCAACTCCTATTTACGCCAACAGTTATAAAGTATCGCATTCAAATTCAAACCGAGGGTCGTGTAGAATAAGATACCGATAGGCACGATGATTTAACAAACAAGTTATTGAAGGGAACACCAAATATAATAAATCCAATGAACCAGAAAATTTGGTAAAGACATTAGCATCTGATGAAGACAGAAACTCCAATTGCCTACATATTAGTTATGGAGGCTATGTCACTCAGAAAAAATGGAAAAAAGCTGGGAATATCCTGTAACAAGTGTAGAATAATGCTAAGCACGAGGTAGACCTGGTAGACAAGGTGCATTGATAGCCTCTTTCTGCTTGTTGGGATATAGTGGAAGGGCATTGATAGCCTCTTTCTGAGATTCACGACTTTAATTATAAAGTCAACTCGTTCTGAGCATGGATCATTCTTCGAAACCAGTTTAAGCTGCATCCAGAACTCAAAGTACTCAGCGAAGACATATTTACAGCACTTAACGATATGGCAAACGACTAATGAGATGTAAACATGGCCACACACTGTGCACTGCATAAGTGCTGTGTCTGTGTGCAGGGTTCAATAAATCTATTATCTAAGAGTTCCCAACTGTTACCATGACCTCAACTTATATACTGCCCAGCATAACAAGATTGACATCATTAAAATCATACTCAGCTCTAGTAACATCTTTTAAGTGTACATGAGAAAATATTTTAAACAAATTCACACACTCCTAATTTTTCCTCCTTGGAATGAAGTTATCGTACTCATCATTAGTGGAGAGTATACCTCTCCCATACCTTGTCTGACTTACAGCCTTGAAAGAGTTAATTATCAATAGGATCTACTAATCAATCACGGACATTGTTTTTAACTAGGATACTATAATGTAAGACGGAATAATCAGCACATCAATTCACAACTTGATTGTCGTTATCCTTAAAATTTCAAGGGTATCATAAACATTACAGAAGTATCACATGGTTTTGTGCTAGTTTGTGTGAAGTGCATAACATGTATTATCTTATATCTTCTAGATGATACATTAACAGGAGAATGATCACACTGACCTTAGTACATACTAAATCCCTCAACTCTCGAGGAGAAAGTATTGAGAGTTTCTTGGAAAGGTCAGTCCGCCTGTTAATCGCCCCAACGTTAGCCAATGCAAGCTCTCGCAACTACATAAAGAAAATATAAAATGGGTTACAGTATATTTCTTCCCCAACTGTGTCAAAAGGTAGACTGAAGTTTCCACATGAAGTGAATCATAGCTGGAATTCTGTAGATATGCACAAACCATAGGAATCTTTTTAAATGTGAACAGCTGAAAATCCTGGATGAGCTTATAATGCGCTTGAAGCACCTCATCATCAGTCATTTGTCGACCTTCATGATCATGAATCTCAAAACCTTTCATAATACTGAAGCAGGTCAACCAACTGCACAAAGAGTTGCCCTTTTCGTTCTTATATAGTGCGCTCAAATGACATTTTGAAACAAGAGCAACATCAGCAACAAGAGGCCGAACTAATCTGTCATCAAAAAGGATATTAGAAATTAGTAAGAATCATGATCATACGTTTTGAATACAGAAATCTATTAGGGACATCAATGACATTCTGGAAATCATTCATTAGAAAGATCTAGGTGCCAGAAACTCCTACCAACACGAATAAATAACACAATTATAAACAGAAATCAGTGGTCAACAAAAGCCCCAGCATAGAACATCACCAATGGCGCAGTACAAATATGGGGAGAAATCATCTTGGAGAGCAATAGAGCTAAGCCTGCCAATGGCACTAGGTTATATGCAACTTGGCTACACCAGATATTTGCCTAGGAATGTTTATTAGCTTTCAAATGATTTCAAGAACCTTCATTTATCCAAATAAAAGTTTTTTTTTTTTTTTAATTGTTTCGGCTTAGCTTTCGTATTAAAATTTTTATTAATGTTTATTTTTATCAGAGTGCATAGTGAAAAATGATTTTATTTAGTGTGACTTTTATTTTAAAAACTAGAACGTTTTTTTTAGTACACGTGTTTAAATTTCTTTAGAGCTCGTTTAAAAAAAATATTTAACAAAAATATGGGTGCTACAAAAGTTCAAAATATTTGTGACAGAGGCCAAAAGGGGATGAAGACAAAATACAGAAATAGTTGAAGTAGCAGAACCAAGGTTAAACCTACAGGAATACATCAGAATAGTTAGTGCAGCCATTCACTCATTGAAGAATAGACAATAGAGATGAAAATAATTTTAAGATGAGCCAATCTCATTATAATCGAGCTTAACTGAAAGGGAATTGGCATATAAGCACTGAACAATATACCTCCTTGTCGGCAACTGGCTCAAAAAGATCGATAAGGAACTCCATGAAAACACATCATCCACGACTTCAGGACCACGGCCATCATCTCGATCATTATCCTGGGCCGCTTTTGATTTAGAAGAGAACACCTCGGAATCAAGGACCTGGTAAACTCGAGATCAAAGGGATATGGATATAACTAGTGAATAAGGAAAATAACATCCGAGTTTCCAATATCATACCTCCAGGAACTCCTCAATGAGATTCCGCAAGAAGTACAAATCCACCTTAACTTCCCCACTTTTGATCACATATTTGGCTCGTTTGGCAATCCTTCTCCATTATTTTATCAAATTCTCATTCAGACAAAGTTCCATCTAAGGTACATGAGAACAAACTAGATCCCAACATATGCAACGAAATATAAAATATACGACATGATTTATAAAGCATAGCACATATCACTTTTTACACAAAAGATGATAGAATAAAGGATTTTTGAATAAAACTGGTAATATTAAAAAGCTTAGATACCTAAGAACGGCCATATGATAGGCTATGCCAACAGTCCAAACTCGCTAAATCTCATAACCCTTTCACTTACTATCTCATCTTCCAAGCTCTATAAAAGTTGAGGAAAGACGACAAATATTAGAGCAGTAAAAATCATTTTGTCATTAAATATGTGCAAGGATGAAATCGGCCAAATGACAATAAGGTGATAGATTATCATATTTACAAGGTAACGTATTAGCAGCCTGCATCCCTTTTTCTATTGACATAATAGTGATTATTGTCATAGTTCGGTATACTTTCTGCTTCCTAAATTGCACAGTTGAAATAAAGAAAAATGAAATTAAGCAATTAAGCCCACAATAGAAACTGCTCCAACAATCTCAAATAGGCAAATAATCTAAAGGAGAGAGAGAGAGAGA